GTAAAAAGTTTTTTGTATTTTAATTAATTAAAATAATTTTCTTTAAAATGTTTATGAAATATTAATTAAACAGGATGGCTGAAAATTTTAAATATGGATAGAATAAATAGTTACATACATAATACTTGCAGCTTATTAATGTCGCTAAACAATATAAAAAATTTAATTAATGGTTACTTTCATCTTCTTTCATTACTTTGCACTTGGAGACATTGCAGCTTATTGATGTTGCTAAACAATGTATCAGCAACCTGTGTCTATCTTCTTGTATATATAAAACTTAATTTACAGTTACTTTTTTGAAATTATTTACACGCGTAAACATTGCATCTTCTTAATGTTGCTAAGCAATGTTTCAGCAACATGTGTCTAGCTTCATGAGTATTTAAAACTTAATTTATAGTTTACCTTTTAAATTTATTTGCATACACTACTTTACACCTATGTACTTTCATGAAGGTTTAATAAAAATGTTGGGGGAATAAAAAAAAGTACAGAATTTAATGGAAATTTTTGCATTGCCAACATCCTGTTTCACGCACTTTGGCTAAATATATTTACATTTTACGCACATTCACTTTTGAAAGCTCGAGAATGTCAGTTACTTAGCGCGCCCGTCATTTTATGTGTAGTATGTATGTATGTGTGAATGTAGATATGTCTACCCGTCTGGCTGGGTGTCTGTCTGTGCACCGTTACAACTGTTGACGTCTCAGCTGACTCAATGTCAAATTAATTGCCAAATCGTTGTTGTAATTGCTAGCGTAACGTTTTGATTACCTGCCAGTTATTGTATGTACATACATATAAATAAATGCAATATCATAAATACGTATTCATGTATCTACATATACTACGATGTATATGTGTGTGTGCTTTGAATTGCAATAACCGAGCGTAACGCGAAATTAATGCACTACAAAGTTACTTGTAATTAATGACACTAATTTTATATCAAAACAAAAACTTACACTCAGCTAACAACAACAACAAAAACACAGTTTTTTTCCTGCTCCCGTTATTATCGCGCTGATTAGTGATGCTACGGTGCTTCGTACCCGCCTTTCAATTAACAAATTAATACAAGCTTCTTTATTGTTTTTGTTGCCGCTGCTTTTGTTGTTTTTGCTTTAGCGCTACTGCTGTAATATTCCGCAATGAGCTGCCAGTAATGTGTGCTTAGGCAGAAATTTCCATCGCGGTGATTGCAAATCAAAAAACACTAAAACAATGCAGCAACAACAACAACAACAAAAATGGGCGCAGGAAAATATTGTGCATTCACGTACGCTTTAGTAGGCATTCAGTGAGCCTCCGCTGCATAATGCGATTAAACCAGTTTAAATTTATCGCCGCTTAGCCATAACAGCAGCAACAATGGCAATAACCGTGCACAATTAACTGTAATCTTTTCTCCATGCGTGTGTGAGTGTGTGCAGCAGCGGCCACCGATAGGGAAACGTCACTGCCGTGGAATATTTTTTAAAATCCTCACGTTGTTGGCATTGAAGAATCTTGTGCCTCATCTACTTCTTGTTGTTGTTGTTCGGAGTTTTTGCACACGCTCATTTGTTCTCATCCTTATCGTTTACGTTTACGGCGTTGCACTTTGTTGCACTGGGGATTTTCCTAAATGTGCCTTTAAAAGAGATTGTTGCCGCGCAGAGTTTACTGTTTTTACTTCCACTCTCATCCCTTCGAAATCGTATTTTTACATCTTTTTGATTATCGGCACTCAGCCGCTAAGAATAAATGTGCATTTTAATAAAAAATAACCTTATTTTTTTATCTCTTTGCAGTTGGCAACTGAGGAATAAATACTAAAGGCTATAAAAATCTACAAATAAAAAGAAAAACAAAGCGCACATCAAAATGGCTGTTATACTACATGAAGTTTACGACTGGTACAGAGATCTCATGGACAATCGAAGTGGTGAGTGATAATTGTAAATAAAAATAGTTCTATTTATTCCTAAACCTTATCGGAAGGAATATGAATATTATTATTATAATTTTTTTTTGTTCCTATAACCCAAAGTTAAAACTATAAAAATTTAAATATTTGTAATAATTATTATTTTCTGAACGACAAATGATTTTGGACGACCTCCACGAAATTTGTCTTGGAATGATCTACGACCCCCATTGTTTGCTCTGTTATGATAATTCACACCCAAAGTTGTATAAAATAATTAAAATAATACGAAAATGTTCGCGATTTACTATTTTTTATACTTTTATTATATAATAAAGTAGCGCTCCTATGTGAAAAAGTAACAATATCACTCACAAAGTTTGACTTCTTCTTGCGATTGCGGAAGCAATCAAGGAATATATGCTTTGGTGTCCACCATATCTGCTCCATGCCTTCTGTGTTTTTGCGTTGAGCTCTTTTCTTATCAGAAAATTAACATTCATAGGAGAGCAAAACCAATTTGCTTATTATTACTTCACTTAAATGAAATTACTGCATGCTTTTCTAACTAAATTTAAATATGCTAGTCTATTTAATTTATGCAAATTGTTTCTTTGATTCGCCATTCTTCGCGCTTCTTATTATTTTGTTGAATTAAATACAATTCCATTATGTTTTCGCCATATTGCGACGTGACAGAAATGCGTTTGTTTCGTACTATATAAGTAGTAAATCCGGTCATTTACTATGTTTTTCACATTTAAATTTTATATTATTTATTTATAGCAATTGATTAGTAATGATTATTTAAATGAGTCAATGGCGGGTTTTCATATTTTAAACGTTTTTACAGATCCACGTGTCAAAGACTGGCCCATGATGTCATCGCCATTCCCCACCTTAGTAGTCTGCGTATTCTATGCCTACTTCAGCAAATCGCTTGCGCCGCGCCTGATGGCGAAGCGAAAAGCATTGGATCTGCGCAAAATACTCGTCTACTATAATCTATTTCAGACAATATTCAGCGCGTGGATTTTCTATGAGGTGAGTTATCGATTCTATTCTCCCAAAACACATATGCACATGAATTTGCAAATAAAAAGCCCCTAATCTAATTTTATATTCTTGCTTTGCAGTACTTAAGAAGCGGCTGGTGGGGTAATTACAGTTTCAAATGTCAGCCCGTTGATTACTCCAATAATCCATTGGCATTGCGCGTAAGTGTGCTTCTTTGATTATATAATATGTACGAAATGCATAGTAGTGTGTGTGTATGTGTGCTTTACAAAAAAAAATTGTTTTTAATGCTACCTTTGGCTGCATCGAAGCTATAAACCCTTCACAAATAAAAAAGTTTTCGATACAAGGACTTTATTTTTATCAGCAAGTTTGTATGGCAATCGCTATAGTTGTTCGATCCAAACAATTCGCTCTGAAATAGTAGCGTTCCCTTAGATAATAATATATGTCAAATTACGGAAAGATATTTCGCCAAATAAAAGAATTTTCCATACGAAAACTTGTTTTTGATCGTTCAGCTATATGATATTGTGGACCGATACCAGTGATTTCGACAAATGAGCAGAGAGAACGGTGAGTGCAAAATTTCAGATCGAAATCTGTAAAACTGCCAGACTAGTTCTCGTATATACAGACGAGAGGACTTAACTAAATCGACAAATCGCGTCACGCTGATACTCTATATACATACTAAATGTACATATGTACATATATACATATGTATTTTACAAACTTGGTAGCAAACTTAAAATATTAGGTTCAGGATTTCAAAACACATACAAACACACATATAAGATCGGTAGATAAGGGTGAAAGTATTGATATTTTTTATATATACAATTATTATTGTAGACTTTGATGCTATTCATACATGCGCTTCATACAAACACACATTTACCGCTGCTTGTAGTACATACATTTACATACATACATATAATTGATCGAATTTATTTTTATTTTTGAATTTTTACATTTTCACTCACAGATGGCACGTACTTGTTGGTGGTATTACATTTCAAAATTCACAGAGTTCTTTGATACGCTATTCTTCATATTGCGCAAGAAAAATGAACACGTATCAACGTTGCATGTCATCCATCATGGCTGCATGCCCTTCTCCGTATGGATGGGCATGAAATTCACGCCAGGTAAAAATCAGCTTTTAACTGCTAGCAGTGCGCGCGCCTTAAACGAAACGCTTTTATTTATATACGAATTGCGAAATTTAATAATTTTTAACAATAACACAGCAATAAATTACTAATTTGAAACCTTCAACTTTTTTCCACTACTCTAGGCGGTCACAGCACATTCTTCGCGCTGCTCAACACCTTCGTGCACATTGTTATGTACTTCTACTATATGATCGCCGCAATGGGTCCCAAATACCAGAAATTCATCTGGTGGAAGAAATACCTAACCACCTTCCAAATGGTAAGCACAATAGATGTTACAAAAATACTTTGTTGCATTTTTAATTAAACACGTGTTTGGTTTAGGTACAATTTGTCGCCATTTTCACCCATCAGTTCCAGTTGCTCTTCAGAGAGTGCGATTATCCAAAAGGCTTTATGGTTTGGATTGGTCTGCACGGCATTATGTTCCTGTTTCTATTCTCTGACTTTTATAAAGCCAAGTACACAAATGCACGCGCCCGTAGCGCGGCGGTGAAAGCCAACAACACAAATGGTTATACCAAATTACCTGCGTCGAATGGCAAATGCATCCCTGTCAGTAATGGTGATTTGTCCAATCATTTGGTAGCGTCCAACAACAATAAGGGTGCTTGCATGGTGAGTACTTGTATTTCTAATATATTTGTGTGGTTATGCTTTTGCAATTTACACTTAGAAGATTTAAAATAAATTTTATGCTACGTTTGTTGCTGTTGTAGTAATATAAAATCGTGTTACATTATGTTCCGACCAAAAATTTATTAACTATTTTAGACAGTTCTCACTGCCGTTGGAGAATTATAAAACAGCAGTTTTTGTCATTAAAAATGCACATCGTGTAATATTTACTAAAAAAAAAGCAATATTTTAATATGCTATTTTGTTATAAAAGCCGGTGTGTTTTAAATATTTTCCATTTAATGGAAAGAATGTACGATTTTTTGGCCTTGAGCATCTATTGACAAGCGAATTCAGCATTGCTTTTAGGTCATTGTTTGTTTACATTTTTTTCTCTTTGTAGTGTCTAAATCAGCTGTTATAATGTAATAAATTTTCTTACAATCAAACAGATGTCGCTAAATTAGAATCGTACAGAAATATTTCGAGTCGGTTAGCTTGAAATCTAAGACGAGATTAACAAGTGTCATTTTTGTTTGGCGAAATATTTTCTAAAACTAGTAGATAAGTGAGATAATTTACTCCACAGTCAAAATTTAGTGACTAATTGCTGGTCGGTTTTCTTATGCTTATGCTAAGGTTGCGTTAGCTCACAACGCTATATCATAAACCTTTTCCTAAGTATGATGGGTCGAAGTGACTGAAAAAGACAATTAGAACTAAAAGCTAGCTTTGAAAAATTTTAGGTTAGGTCGAGCGAGCGTGTTCGAACAAATTAAAAAAATTAAGAGAATGCGCCTCGAAATCTACACATATGTTATCTGCTAGCGTCAATAAAATTGTTTTCTCAAATAAGACCTTAACCTCCAGTGCAGTTCAAGATCGTCAACAAATATTAAGAACTTTTAAGAAAATAGTTTGCACAATAAAAGCAAAGCAAAAATCGTGAATAATGTCAATGCCTTCACATAGCATATACGCATACATTCTTATCACACGCCTTAGATTGTACTTTGTTGTACATTTTCATTTATCAAAAAACGTTTACACACAAGTGTTTCTTTTCTAAGTTCTATTTAATATACACTTAAGCCCCGGCATACGCTTATGTCAATTAGTAATCAAAACAAATTTATAATAATGGCCTACCTTAAGTCAATTACCATGTATGAATGTGCTTTCAGCAATTTCTAAAAGCGCTTCAAATAAATTTGTGCCAAGTGCTTAGGCAAACGCGCCTAATTACAGAACTAAACATCGAGCAGTAAACTAACGCACAGGTGCCAATTTGTTGAGTTATTATCATTTACGTTGCCGCTGTTGTTATTGTTATTGTTTTGCATGTGGAGCTACCGCTGTCCAGTACTTCTCCACTGTAGAAGTTTTAAACTTTAATTCAAGTAAATGTTTGTGCAATGAGTGCAATGTCTAAAGTGTAAGTGTTTAATGTATTGACCGGGACACGTGGTTGACATTCTAGGGTGTTGGCATTTGTTTTTCGAGTCACTAATATCTTCATAATTTGGAAATAAACACTTTTATAGGCTAATATGACGCATGTTGAGGTATAGCAGTGACGTATTTGCAGTAATATATACATATTTACATATTGCATCCTACTTCAGAATTATTTTACAATTGAAGAAAGTATAAGGAACTTAACTTTTCGAAACTTTAATAATTCTTTATTGACGTAGTCACCACTTACGCGTTTATAACCTAACTTTAAGCATTATTCAGACAAGAAAAAACAAAAACACGTTAACTTCGGCTGCACTGACACTACAAAGCCCTCCACGGGTGTTTTTCGCAGAGCATAAAAGGTACAAAAAATTATTTATATTGATGTTGGTTGGGAAGCTTGTATGGCAGATATGTGTTAGTAGTCCGATCAGAACAATCTACTCGGAGTTGGGTTTTTGCCATGGACAATGATCTATGGCGAATTTCGTTAAGATAAAATTTTCAAATAAAAATGTTTTCCATACAAGGACTTGGTTTTGATCGATCAGTTTGTGTGGCAACTATATTTTACAACGATCCGATTTCAATAAATTCTACGTGGATGTAGTGTAGCTTTAGACAATCATCCATGTCGAATTTCGGGAAGATAAACTATCAAATAAAATAGTTTCCGTTCGAGCAGTTTCTATGGCAGCTATATGGTAGAGCCATCCGATTTGAACAGTTTCGTAAAAGATTGTAGCGCAGCTTTGAACAATAAACCATGCCGAATTATGGTAAGATACCTTGTCAAACAAAAAAGTTTTTCATACAAGGGCTTCTTTTTAATCGATCAGTTTGTATATCAGCTACATATATGCTAGAGTGATCAGACTTGAACAATTTCTTCGAAGATTGCAGCGAAGTTTTGGACAATAATCCATGCCGAATTTCGTGAACATATCTTGTCAAATAAAAAATCTTTCCATGCAAGGACTTGATTTTGATTGTTCATTTTGCATGACAACAATATGCTAGAGCGTTCCGATTTGAACAATTTTTTCGGAGATTATAACGTAGTTCTGTACCATAATCTATGCCAAATTTTGATAAGATATCTTGTTAAATACAACAAATGTTTCCCGTACAAGGACTTGATTTTGATTGTACAGTTTGTATGGCAGCTATATGCTAGAGCGATCCGATTTGAACAAATTGTTCAAAGGATGTAGAGTAACCTTAGGCAATAATCTATGCCAAATTTTGTGCAGATATTTTGGCAAATAATTATGGTTTTGATACAAGGACTTTATTTTGGCTATATAGTGTTGTCAAAATCTTACCATCAAGGAAATTATTAATTTTTCTATAATTATTTAAAAAAATTTAAAATGCTATAAATTTTTAAACTAACTGTATACCTCATTTCTTTCTGATTTTACAGCCCGTTATGGACGAGGAAGCTGAGAGCATCAAGCCCAATCATCACTTCACCAATGGCTATAAGAATGGCTACGCTAACGGCCACGCCTTCAAAGAGGGCGATGGTGTGCTATCCACAAACGATGCTATACTCAATCCAGACAGCAGTAGCTCTAGTCTACACCAGCGAAAAGTCAAATAAAGCATAAAGTGTAACAAAAGCAAGCAGAAATAACCAGCAAAGAATAGTTAGGACTTAAGTATATATATATATATTAATAACAAAAAAAAACAAAAAAAAAAAACAAAACACATACACACAAAACAAAATTGATTATTTTTTATATATACATTAATTATATATTTAATAATTTAAATCGAGTAAATATGGAGCTTTTATATATGTATCTGTATATAAATATATATTTAAAAGTTGGAAAAAGGAAACACAAGAATTAATTATAATTAAAATACTATACATTATAGCAGCAACAAAGAAGAATATGTTCTAAGGTCAAGTACATTTGTAAATACATACATACATTTATTTCTAGACCTAATCTAGTATCACCAAGTTGTTCAAACAATTTGCAGTAGATATGTATGTATTTAATGCAAAAGAAACAAAGAAACGATGAACAAAACAAAGCGAAGTGCAGAAAACATATGTTTCATTTAGGCAAAAGCAAAAACAATACAAGAACAAGAAAAAAAATCAAATTAAAGCAACCCATAAATTTTATTTAAGTACATTTATTAGATATAGAAGAGCAACAATTGCGCGCCGCTTTCTTGTAGATTGAGGACGACTAGAAAGAGGAGTAGGGAGGGAAAGTAAAGGCGAAGTCAAACAATTTATTGTTATAAATGTGTAAGCATTCAAATGGTATTTTACATTCTCCACACGGCATAAATTATGCAAAAATATCACATATGTATATACAAATATATATGTACATATATACATATGTCTATGAAGAAACAGAACAGAGCGAATCTTAAAGTTTTACGCAAACTTAGCAACAACAGGGAAATACATAAATAAAGTAATAAAATGGACGTCTACAAAAACTATTGTTAATATTGCTACAACTACAACAACTACCGAATACTATTATTATATGCTACAAAAGCAGCAACTACTATCAAGCGACACTACTACCACCAAAAAAAGTTACAATTAAAATTCTCATTTTTTTGTTTTTTTGTATTAAACTCTACTACTTTATAGTGCAGTTATGCGGGTAAATCACACTATTGCATGCGTGCACCCGACAGCCATAGCGATTGCTGCGCAATTATGGCAAGCCGGCGGTGCGCATGCGCAATGTGCGTTTGTATACATTTACCTACCAATAAAATAGACTTATGTAAATGTATTTATAGCGAGTTAATAATGTAAATTTTTTATATAACCCGTCAAGTAAAAGTTCGAACAGCAACAAAAAAAAAAAAAAATTATGATAATAATAAACGTAATAATAACAAACAACAACAATGTGAAGTACACTGATAGCACAGCATTTTATGTATATGTTGCAAAATTTAAGTCAAAAAAACAAAAAAAAATTAAAATAAAAATCAAATAAGAAAATTATATTTTGTATAAAAACGGGAGAGGTATTCTATTTTGTGGACAAATAAGTAACTAAAGAACAAACTATATTTATAAATATGTATGTACATGCCTATAAATATTTACAAATATCACTACTTAGTTAGCTGCGTCCTATTAAACAATATACTCGTTGTATATATATGTAGGTATATAGATATATACATATATGCATATATATCGTACCCTAAAATGCAAAATAACGTATCTCACTTTTCATAAATCTACAGGCGAAGGAAAACCGTTTAATAAAAACCACTCATTTTGAAATAAAATTTGAGTTCTGGTTATAATATTGGTTATATTTCGGTTATCATTAACTCATAATAAAGCAAAATTTTAGTTAAAAAACAAACACTCATATTGAAACAAAATTTGAGTTTTAGTTACAAAGTGGTTATATTTTGGTTACTCATATTACATACGGTAAAGAGAAATTGAAATAAAACTTGAGTTTTGATTATATTTTGGTTACTATTATCTGACAGAGATTTTCGATTTTGTTTCATGATATCCTGTTTCGCATTTTAAGTGACGATATATGTACATACATATACATATATATATTTATATACTTCAATACATGACAGATAGTGCGTGCGTATGTGTATAGTAAGTGCATAAGTGCGAGCATGTATATATAAATATGTATGTAGTTAGCAAGAATGAAGTTTATATTTGTAGTTAAATTAATGCTTAAGCGCTATTGTTCGTTTATACTTTCTATTTTTACTAAAACATACTGAAAATAATGTAAAAAAAAACTGTTATTTAGCAAGAAATTATATGAAATTATTAACTGTAACTCTTAGTTGTTGTTGCATTTTTTAGCTTTTTAATTCATATGACGTGCGTTAACGGCAGTTTTTTGTTGTTTTAATTTGCAATTTGTATATTACACAAGCACACAAATACATATGTACGTACACTTACGTGTAAGCAATAGTTTATATACATACATATATACATTTATATATACTTTATATATATGATATACTGTATTTTATTTTCCTTTTGCAAGGGTTACTGGTAGTCAAATTTTGTTTGTATAATCGTATATTCTCTTTTCAAAATATGTATGTATAACGCGTTATTTTCATTGAAAAAACAAAAACAACAATGCTCTTTTGAACAACACACACACAAAACCATATATTACATACACATACGGGTAGATATGTATTGCTACGCTTAATTATTATTTGCATACTTTTGTAAGGTTAATGTGCCTAATGTGTCTACTTTATAATGTACTTTTGTAAAGTTACTTAGTGGAATTCTGTTTCTTTGAATAAACTCATGAATCCATACAGAAATCGAAGAGAAATGGCGTTTTATTCCAAAGGGTGCTGCAAGTAGGGGTACTTTTTCCATAGCCTTCTTTTGACAGGTTCACGCGTTCGTGTCAAGCTGTCATGTTATTTATTAGTATTGTTTCGCATTTCAACATGGAACGACTTACGCCTGAACAATGTTTACAAACCGTTCAACTTCATTAGGAACATTTACGTTCTGTGAAGAATGTGCTTCGCGTACTATTCGCAGCACCATCACCCATCTTGAGACCCAGCATTCATTATTGGATAATATTCGACCGAATGGACAACGTACAGCGCGAAGTGAAGAAAACACAGCAGCCGTGGCTCAAAGAAGGCCGTGGAGAGACGATAAGGCGCCGTTCGTAGCAACTTAATCTGACGTATGGAACGACTTTGTGCATTTTACGTCGTGGTCTTAAATTGAAAGCGTACGAAATACAGCTTGTGCAACAACCAAAGCCGCTCGACCTCCTCAAGCGACATCGCTTCTCGTCTTGAAAACAAGAAGATCCGTCATTTTCGAGCCAAATTTTGTCCGGCGATGAGGTCAATTTCTGGCTCAGTGGGTATGTAAATAAGTCAAATTGTCGCATTTGGGACGAAGAGCAACCCGAAGCTATTCAAGAGGTGTCCTTTCATCAAGAACAATGGTGTGGTTCGTGGGACGATAGAATAGTCATGTGACAGTCATCTAATAGAGATTGAAAGTATCGGATTGAGGAATGTCAAATGTATAGGTTTAGCTGGGCTTACAAAGAGGTGGTGAGAGGCATACGAAGACTCGTTGGTATGTCGGGGTGGATGAGATAAGAGTTTAACCTGCTAGAGTATGCAGAACGCGTGGCCAGCGTCGTCACTCTCAATTCTCGCGGCAACTAGATCTCGTCGTCTGCAGTCGGTAGTGGTTTGACTCCAAGTACGACATTCAAATGTTCGATCAGAGACATAACGTTATAGTCCGTAGTGCAGTGTTCTGGCAAGTCTGAAACTTTCTAGGCAGCGTTTCATTGTATCCAGGAGACCATATTGGTGTAGCATAATTATAGGACTTTGTTGCGACTCTATACTTTGGCAATAATCACGGTCGTATGAGAAATGAAGAGCACTGGCTGTCTAGTTTCACGCCTAAAATCTTAATATTATTGACAGTCGGATTTTTAACGCCATCAACTGCAATATTAAGGTCGAGTCTGTATTCCTTCGTCCACCATCTGCTTAATTCTTCTCAATTTAGGATTTTTACCTCGAAGCAGTATGGATGATTGCCGAAAGCTCAGGTAGTTCATAGCCCACCTCTTCAACCCTGGCGGGAGCGTAGATTTTTCGATGTCCTCAAGTATCGTTGTGTGTTTGCCTACGTGAAAGGCTTTAACAGATCCAACGCAAAGAAGATCATGCTCTCGCAAGGTGGTTTGTGGTTGAGGCCATGAACTATATGGGAGTTTTTGTCAACGTAGAAGCTTGGCGTCTGTTCGCCAATGCCAAAATTCCGGCAATTTCGATGTTGAGGATGCAGCACGACAATACCATGATTAATTCTGAAGCGTATTGTGATCAGCTGAACAAATTGAGTCGATTCTCCGTAAGCATAACACCATAACACAGCATAACACGTCAAAATCGACCTTTTCATTGCGAATTGAACGAAATAAATTTTCCGACAGATTATGCTTAGTTAAAAGTATTTTCTCCCTTTTTTCATGCCAAAAATATCAGATTTTCTAAATTTCGCTTCGATGACAGAATTCTTGAACGATAATGGTAATGATATCATTCCTATTTGGGACCCAAAAGCAATATTAATATCATTTTTTACTTTTATTTTTTTTCGGTTTTTTAAATCTCATAATAAATTTCTTCGGAAACCAAAGTACAAGTACGATTAGTCGGAACTTAATTCAGATTGGGGTAGTTCCCCTTCACGGTGCAGTGTATTGGTTGCTATAAAGAGCAACCATACATAGATACAAAGATTAAAACTAAAAATGCAACCAAGCGAAACATAAATATACATGTCATATAAAGGGTGATCCAAGTGGATGAACTTTTTTCAATAGCTTTTTGTTGATCACTAGTAAGTCGTGTCAAGCTATGATTTTATCTTTGTTCGGTATTGTTTGGAACGTCATCATGAAAAGGTTTAAGCCCAAACGACATCACTTCGTTCTATGGGCCCTTGAAAAGTTTCAAAAGGATCCGACATTTTCGAAATTCATTTAGGAAATCGAACAACTTGAAGAGATTTAAAAGCTGCCATTTCATGCAGAAAAAAAAAACGGTTTGGTTTGGTTTGTAGGCCGGTGGAATCATCGGTCCATATTTTTTAAAAAATAATGACGGTGAGAACGTAACCGTCAATGGCGAACGTTAT